TGAGGTACAGCAGCTGCAAGACACTCAAAGTCCTCCTGCGTGTCCTCAAGGACGTCCGTGCCAAGAGCACACTCACCCCCGACGGACGGAGGACAGACAGACTCAGACTCAGCAACAAGACTAGCGGCGTAGTCGAGGCGACAGGCGGCAGCAAAGTCAACAAGCTCAGCAACTAGGGCAGACGCAGCAGTGGACTCAAACGAAGGGTCATTGACAACAGTGGCTAGAAGACGCGTGACAGTAGGACTGGCAGCACGAGCAAGGTCTGACGGCGGGTCAGGAATGTCAAGAAGAGAGGACACAGGAGGAGACGGCAGAGGGACACGCTGTGGAACAGAGGAGGGACGAAGTGCCATCTGGTGCGTGCCGGGGACAGGAGGAGGACGCTGACGCGGAACACGACGACCAATGCGAACAGCGCGAACAGGTGACGCAGGACGAGACGCAGGCTCACGACGCTCTCCTAAACCGCCTGTCTGCTCAGTGTAAGGAGAAGGAACAGGCAGTGGGGAGGCTGGCTGTAACTGCGGCTGCGACTGGTCAGGCGGTGGACACAGTAAGGGAGGAGTAAGGCCAGTAGAAGGCGGGAGACCAAGAACCTGCTGAAGCAGTGGAACGAAGTACGGTCGCGGCCGCACAGCGCCTCCAGAACAAGCACCGACAGCACCAGCACCCCCAGGGTCAGCACCTCCAGCTCCAGGGTCTCTAGCTCCAACGCCTGCAGCACCACCAGCTCCAGCAGCTCCAGTACCTCCAGTACGAGCACCTCCGGGACCAGCGGCTCCAATACCTCCAACAGCTCCAGCTCCAGTAGCTCCAGCACCTCCGGGTCCAACGCCTGCAGTACCTCCAGGACCAGCAGCTCCAGCACCTCCGGCTCCAACGTCTGCAGCACCACCAGCTCCAGCAGCTCCAGTACCTCCAGTACGAGCACCCCCGGGACCAGCGGCTCCAGTACCTTCAGCAGCTCCAGCTCCAGCAGCTCCAGTACCTCCAACTCCAACGTCCGCAGCACCACCAGCTCCAGCAGCTCCAGTACCTCCAGTACGAGCACCTCCGGGACCAGCGGCTCCAGCAGCTCCAGCACCTCCAGGACCAGTAGCTCCAGTGCCTCCAGCTCCAGGACCCTGAGGGGGGAGGGGGTCTACCGGAGGAGGACCTAGTGCGAGGAAGAGCGGCGGGGGGGGGAGAGGGGCAGTGCGGTAGGGGAAGAGACGGTAAAAGGGAATCGACTCATCAAACGTGACGTCCTGAGAGGGCAGGACACGGCGTGAGGTGGGGTGGTAAAACTGCCAGCCAGGCGCATCAGGGGGAAAGCCAAGGAAGACGCAGGGAATGGCGCGGGAGGAGAGCTTGTCCGCGGAAGTATCGCGGACAAAGGCACGAGAGCCCCAGACCCGGAACACCGACGCATCGCCAACCTCCCCCGTCCAACGCAGTGTCGGCGAGGTCTCCGGCAAGGAGACACGGGGCCAGAGGTTGAGCTGATGCGCAGCGTACCGGACCGCAAACGGCCACAGAAAATGGGGGGCAGCCGCATGGATCATGGAGGTACGAGCGACCTCCATGACTAAGCCAATGCGGCGCTCAGCAACCCCATTCTGCTGCGGAGAGGCCGGAAGCGTGAACGACTGGAGAATGCCCTCCCCACGACAAAAGTCCCGCAAGAGGTCGGAGGAAAACTCACCACCTCTGTCAGAGTGCAGACGCAGGACTGGAAGGTCCGTGTGGAACCGCTCGCGGAGCTGGAGACGGACAGCGCGGATCCAAGGGATCAAAACATCAGGGACCTGTGGTGTAACGTGAGTAGTCGTCAACAACCAGCAGAAAGTAGCGCTCGTGGCCCTGTCCACGGATGCGGGCTGGGCCCCACACGTCCATGTGGAGAGTCTGCAGGGGAGCAGTCGTCGGGGGAAACGAGGAGGAGTGAGGAGCGGCGCGCTACCGCCCCTCAACACAGGGAAGGCAGGGAGGGGCAGGCGAGGGTGGGAGGGGAGGCAGAACCCTGGGAAGACCAGAGACAAGGACACGGGAGTGCATGCCACGGAGGCGTGGCACGGAGGGGTGACCAAGACGGTGGTGCCAAAGGAGCGTCTGGTGCGACAGGGCGCGACACGAGCAGGGGGCCGCTAGCTGACCTGACGCAGACGCAGACGCAGCTACCTGAGGAGGCGCAGTATTCAGTGTATACAGACTCGACCCAGGCCGACGGGTGAACGTGGCCAGGTGACGGTCAGTCCGGGAGCACGTACAGATCGCCACACGCTGTCCTCCAGGGGTGAAGGTGTCAACCCATTCATCATGAAGGACGGCGTTGCTCACCAAGTTCGTAGAGAACAAGGGGAGGTGAAGACCTGACAGTGAGTCAGACGGAACCGCCGGACATGGGAGAACAGTGGAGGAACGTGCAAGGACTGGGCCCCCAGAGGGGTCAGCCAGAGAGATAGCAACAGGTGCAGGGAGCGGTGTGACTGTGGTACTGTCGCGAAAGAAACAGCGGGAAGCACCTGAGTCAAGCGTGAAGGTGTGCAAGGCAGCAGCAGGCGCAGTACCAGAGAGAGCAGACTCACTAGCACCGAGAGCAGCAGACTCACTAGCACCTAGAGCAGCAGACTCACTAGCACCTAGAGCAGCAGCCTCTATACCTGGGTCGGGCGGCACACACAGGTAACAGGCACCCTCAGCACTAACAGTCAATGCATACATGGCAGTGAGGATAGCATCATAGTCAAGAGCAAAGATACCCACCCTCTGCCTAAGCAGCTCCAGCCAGCGGGGGAGCTCAGCCGCGTCGCCAAACTCCGCACGCCAGGCGTCGCTCAGACAGGAGAAGCAACGGGACTGTGTGTGACCAACCGTCCCGCAAGTCTGACCAGCCTGATCACTTGTGCGAATGACGTACGGGCAGCGAGCAGTACTCCGAGACCCCCCACTCTGAGCGAACCACTCACGAAGCTGCTGGGGCGTAAGAGTCTCGCGCGGACGCCGCTGCAGCTGCATCTGGCCACCGCCAGAAACTCCCCACTGAACAGCTCCACTGCGACTGCCACTACGGCCGCCGCCACTACTCCAACTAGCGAACCACTCACGAAGCTGCTGGGGCGTGAGGGTCTCGCGCGGACGCCGCTGGAGCTGCATCTGGCCACCGCCAGAAACTCCCCACCGAACAGCTCCACCGAGACTGCCACCACGGCCGCCGCCACCACTCCCACTGCTGCCACCACCGCCGCCACCACTCCCACCGCTACCTCGAAGAGATGTCATAGCGGGCACTAGGGTAGGTCGGGGCGGCGCACGGTCAGAGAAGGGCGGCGCGTTACAAGTAGGGCGGCGCTCGGGCAGGGGAGGGCGCGCGGGCAGGCAAGGGCAGCGTGCGGGTTGCAGAGGGCGGCGCGTGGGCTGCCAAGGCGAACGCGACGGGCAGGGGCAGGGCGGAGCGCGGGCAGCAGGGCGGCGCGCGGGCTGCAGAGGGCGGCGCGCGGGCAGGAAGGGGCGGCGCGCGGACAGGCAGGGGCGGGGCGGACGGGCGACGCGACGGGCAGAGGCAGGGCAGACGGGCGACGCGACGGGCTGGGGCAGCCCGCACGGGCGACGCGACGGGAAGAGGCAGGGCAGACGGGCGACGCGACGGGCTGGGGCAGCCCGCACGGGTGACGCGAGGGGCAGAGGCAGGGCAGACGGGCTACGCGACGGGCTGGGGCAGCCCGCTTGAGCGACGCAACGGGCAGCAGGGGCGCACGGGCGGCGCGACGCGACTGGCTGCAGGGGCGCACGGCGCGACCGACAGCAAGGGGCGCGCGACGTGACGGGCAGCAGGGGCGCGCGACGCGACGGGCAGGGCGTGCGCAGGGCGGCGCGACGCGGGGCAGGGCAGGGCGTGCGCGGGCAGCGTGACGCAGGGCAGGGCGTGCGCGGGGCGGCGCAACACAGGGCAGTGCAAGGCAGCGCGGCAGCCAGCAGGGCGGCGCGCGGGCAGGGTAACGCGACTGGTGGGGCAGCGCGACGGACACGGTAGGGCGATACGGGCAGGGTAACGTGCTACGGGCAGGGAACTATTCGGTGGGCCCTAAAAAAACGGTCCTACGTCAGGACCTGCTCTGATACCATGTCAGAATAATGAACGAGGATGGATGAACTAACAGCATGCAGGAGTACAAGTAGCAAACCCTAATTGGGTTGTACCCCAGATGGGCTACCCCACTATAGCCTACACAATATGCAACATATAAGCTTGACACAACCCTCCCACGCCCTTGCTGGCTTGGTAATAGGCTCAGACAAGTGTATCCACGTGACCCAACGGAAGAAAAACGCTCGAAATGAGCGCTTCCAGCCCCAAAACGCGGAAGGATCCGCACATGTGCAGGAAGTGCAGCGGGCGCTCTTCATTCGCGAGCGCCGATGACCGATGATGCTCGCAACCCTCCCACGCCCTTGCTGGCTTGGTAATAAGACCAGACAAGCGCAGCCACGTGACCCGGCGGAAGAAAAATGCTCGGAATGAGCGCTTCCACCCCCAAAACGCGGAAGGATCCGCACATGTGCAGGTAGTGCAGCGGGCGCTCTTCATTCGCGAGCGGCGATGACCGATGATGCTCGCAACCCTCCCACGCCCTTGCTGGCTTGGTAATAGGCACGGACAAGCGCAGCCACGTGACCCGGCGGAAGAAAAACGCCCGGAACGAGCGCTTCCACCCCCAAAACGCGGAAGGATCCGCACATGTTCAGGAAGTGCAGCGGGCGCTCTTCATTCGCGAGCGCCGATGACCGAAGATTCTCGCAACCCTCCCACGCCCTTGCTGGCTTGGTAATAGGCCCAGACAAGCGCAGCCACGTGACCCGGCGGAAGAAAAACGCCCGGAACGAGCACTTCCAGCCCCAAAACGCGGAAGGATCCGCACATGTGCAGGAAGTGCAGCGGGCGCTCTTCATTCGCGAGCGCCGATGACCGATGATGCTCGCAACCCTCCCACGCCCTTGCTGGCTTGGTAAAAGGGCCCATGCAAGCGCAGCCACGTGACCCTGCTGCTGGCGGTATAGCTGCTGGCGGGGTCCCTGCTGGCGGGGTCTCTGCTGGCGGGGTCTCTGCTGGCGGGGTCTCTGCTGGCGGTGTAGCTGCTGGCGGGGTCTCTGCTGGCGCTGTAGCTGCTGGCGGGGTCTCTGCTGGCGGTGTCACTGGCGCTGGCGGTCCCGCCATGCCCTTCCCCCGTCCCTCTCATCCCCCACAGCGACTGTCGCTGCACACGGGAACGGCCGCGATAAGGGGAGACGTGAAGGGGCCACGACGGGGAAAGGGGAGGCGACGGGAGGCGACGGGGACGGCGGCAAGGACTGCAGGTGCACTGGCGGTCGTCGCTGACGTTCCGCCGCCACTCCCTTCCCCTCTTCCCTCTCCCCCCCACAGCGTTCGACCGCCACTCCCTGCCCTTCTTCCCTCACCCCCCCACAGCGACCGCCGCGGCACACGCGAACAGCCACGACGAGGGGGGGGGTGACGGGCAGGGGGCGGGGGTAATGCGACGGGCAGAGCGACGGGGGGGGAAGAAATCGGGACGGGGGGGGGAAGGGCCGCGACGACCGCCACGGACGCCGTCCCCTTCATTCCCGCTGCCGCCCCCCACCCCCCCTCCCCACTCTCGCGCAAACTCGGCAGCAGGCGTAGGCGCGGGCAGAGGGGGCGACGTGGGGGAAACGCGACGGGCTGACGACGAGGGAAACGCGTCGTGCTGGCGACGGGGGAATCGCGACGGGCTGGCGACGGGGGAAATGCGACGTGCTGGCGAAGGGAGAATCGCGACGGGCTGGCGACGGGGGAAAACGCGACGGGCTGGCGACGGGCAGGCGACGAGGGAAAAGTGACGGGCTGGCGACGAGGGAAACGCGGCCAGCTCGCCGCCGCGACCGTCGTATCAAGCGCCTTCCGCGAATGGGTGGGCCCATTGAAATGTTAGGTCCTAGGAGCGAAACTTAGCTCAATACCATGTTACGAAACGATCTGAACTATGGCGCCGGGTTTAACTAAGGGCCTAGGCTAGAAGCCTAGGCCAAGCGGGAGTCGAGTGAGTTGTGCCAAGGGAGAATATCGAGAATGATTGTGTTCACTATAGCACTCAAGGTACATATAGCAAACTAGCAAAGGTGCACCACCAAACAAGCAAATATATAACTACACTAACACTAACTACAAACAGTTATATAAACTATGCAAAATCTAGTTTGACATTGCGAGCATCATCGGTCATCGGCGCTCGCAAATGAAGAGCGCTCGCTGCACTTCCTGCACATGTGCGGATCCTACCGCATTTTGGGGCTGGAAGCGCTCGTTCTGAGCGTGTTTCTTCCGCCGGGCCATGTGGCTGCGCTTGTTTGGGCCTATTACCAAGCCAGCAAGGGCGTGGGAGGGTTGCGAGCATCATCGGTCATCTGCGCTCGCGAATGAAGAGTTCCCGCTGCACTTCCCGCACATGTGCGGATCCTTCCTCGTTTTGGGGGTGGAAGTGCCCGTTCCGAGCGTTTTTCTTCAGCCGGGTCACGTGGCTGCGCTTGTCTGGGCCTATTACCAAGGCAGCAAGGGCGTGGGAGGGTTGCGAGCATCATCGGTCATAGGCGCTCGCGAATGAAGAGCGCCCGCTGCACTTCCTGCACATGTGCGGATCCTTCCGCGTTTTGGGGGTGGAAGCGCTCGTTCCGAGCGTTTTTTTTTCCGCCGTGTCACGTGGTTGCGCTTGTCTGGGCCTATTACCAAGCCAGCAAGGGCATGGGACGGTTGCGAGCATCATCGGTCATCGCCGCTCGCGAATGAAGAGCGCCCGCCGGGTCACGTGGCTGCGCTTGTCTGGTCCTATTACCAAGCCAGCAAGGGCGTGGGAGGGTTGCGAGCATCATCGGTCATCGGCGGTCGCGAATGAAGAGCGCCCGCTGCTCTTCCTGTACATGTGCGGATCCTTTCGCATTTTGGGGCTGGAAGCGCTCGTTCCGAGCGTTTTTCTTCCGCCGGGTCACGTGGTTGCGCTTGTCTGGTCCTGTTACCAAGCCAGCAAGGGCGTGGGAGGGTTGCGAGCATCACCGGTCATCGGTGGTCGCGAATGAAGAGCGCCCGCTGCACTTCCTGCAGATGTGCGGATCCTTCTGCGTTTTGGGGGTGGAAGCGCTCGTTCCGAGGGTTTTTCTTCCGCCAGGATGCGCTTGTCTGGTCCTATTACCAAGCCAGCAAGGGCGTGGGAGGCTTGCGAGCATCATCGGTCATCGGCGCTCGCGAATGAAGAGCTCCCGCTGCACTTCCTGCACATGTGCGGATCCTTCCGCGTTTTGGGGGTGGAAGCGCTCGTTCCGAGCGTTTTTCTTCCGCCAGATCACGTGGCTACGCTTATCTGGTCCTATTACCAAGCCAGCAAGGGCGTGGGAGGGTTGCGAGCATCATCGGTCATCGGCGCTCGCGAACGAAGAGCGCCCGCTGCACTTCCTACACATGTGCGGATCCTACCGCATTTTGGGGTGGAAGCACTCGTTCCGAGCGTTTTCTTCCGCCGGGTCATGTGGCTGCGCTCGTTTGGGCCGAGTCCGCCGGGTCACGTGGCTGCGCTTGTCTGGGCCTATTACCAAGCCAGCAAGGGCGTGGGAGGGTTGCGAGCATCATCGGTCATCGGCGCTCGCGAATGAAGAGCGCCCGCTGCACTTCTTGCACATGTGCGGATCCTTCCGCGTTTTGGGGCTGGAAGCGCTCGTTCCGAGCGTTTTTTCTTCCGTCAGGTCACCTGGCTGCGCTTGTCTGGGCCTATTACCAAGCCAGCAAGGACGTGAGATGGTTGCGAGCATCGTCGGTCATCGGCGCTCGCGAATGAAGAGCGCCCGCTGCACTTCCTGCACATGTGCGGATCCTTCCGCGTTTTGGGGCTGGAAGCGCTCGTTCCGAGCGTTTTCTTCCGCCGAGTCACGTGGCTGCACTTGTCTGGGCCTATTACCAAGCCAACAAGGGCATAGGACGGTTGCGAGCATCATCGGTCATCGGCGCTCGCGAATGAAGAGCGCCCGCTGCACTTCCTGCACATGTGCGGATCCTTCCGCATTTTGGGGCTGGAAGCGCTCGTTCCGAGCGTTTTTCTTCCGCCGGGTCACGTGGCTGCGCTTGTCTGGTCCTGTTACCAAGCCAGCAAGGGCGTGGGAGGGTTGCGAGCATCACCGGTCATCGGCGGTCGCGAATGAAGAGCGGCCGCTGCACTTCGTGCACATGTGCGGATCCTTCTGCGTTTTGGTGGTGGAAGCGCTCGTTCCGAGGGTTTTTCTTCTGCCAGGATGCGCTTGTCTGGTCCTATTACCAAGCCAGCAAGGGCGTGGGAGGGTTGCGAGCATCATCGGTCATCGGCGCTCGCGAATGAAGAGCGCCCGCTGCACTTCCTGCACATGTGCGGATCCTTCCGCGTTTTGGGGCTGGAAGCGCTCGTTACGAGCGTTTTTCTTCGGCCGGGTCACGTGGCTGCGCTTGTCTGGGCTTATTACCAAGCCAGCAAGGGCATGGGAGGGTTGCGAGCATCATCGGTCATCGGCGCTCGCGAATGAAGAGCGCCCGCTGCACTTCTTGCACATGTGCGGATCCTTCTGCGTTTTGGTGGTGGAAGCGCTCGTTCCGAGCGTTTTTCTTCCGCCGGGTCACGTGGCTGCGCTTGTCTGGTCTTATTACCAAGCCAGCAAGGGCGTGGGAGGGTTGCGAGCATCATCGGTCATCGGCACTCGCGAATGAAGAGCGCCCGCTGCACTTCCTGCACATGTGCGGATCCTTCCGCGTTTTGGGGGTGGAAGCGCTCGTTCCGAGCGTTTTTCTTCCGCCGTGTCACGTGGCTGCGCTTGTCTGGGCTTATTACCAAGCCAGCAAGGGCGTGGGAGGGTTGCGAGCATCATCAGTCATCGGCGCTCGCTAATGAAGAGCGCCCGCTGCACTTCCTGCACATGTGCGGATCCTTCCGCATTTTGGGGGTGAAAGCGCTCGTTCCGAGCGTTTTTCTTCCGCTGGGTCACGTGGCTGCACTTGTCTGGTCCTATTACCAAGCCAGCAAGGGCGTGGGAGGGTTGCGAGCATCATCGGTCATCGGCGCTCGCGAATGAAGAGCGCCCGTTGCACTTCCTGCACATGTGCGGATCCTTCCGCGTTTTGGGGCTGTAAGCGCTCGTTCCGCGCGGTTTTCTTCCGCCGGGTCACGTGGCTGCGGTTATCTGGGCCTATTACCAAGCTAGCAAGGGCGTGGGAGAATTGCGAGCATCATCGGTCATCGGCGCTCGCGAATGAAGAGCGCCCGCTGCACTTCCTGCACATGTGCGGATCCTTCCGCGTTTTGGGGGTGGAAGCGCTCGTTCCGAGCGTTTTTCTTCCGCCGGGTCACGTGGCTGCGCTTGTCTGGGCCAATTACCAAGCCAGCAAGGGCGTGGGAGGGTTGCGAGCATCATCGGTCATCGGCGCTCACGAATGAAGAGCGCCCGCTGCACTTCCTGCACATGTGCGGATCCTTCCGCGTTTTGGGGGTGGAATCGCTTGTTCCGAGCGTTTTTCTTCCGCCGGGTCACGTGGCTACGCTTATCTGGTCCTATTACCAAGCCAGCAAGGGCGTGGGAGGGTTGCGAGCATCATCGGTCATCGGCGCTCGCGAATGAAGAGCGCCCGCTGCATTTGCTATAGTCACAATAGGCTCAAATGTGCCTAAAACGAAAGATAGAGTGCACAGTCGGATTTCTGCACAGCAGCTTCAAACGTTCGTAGCGATCTCTCCACATCTCCAAATGACATCATTCAAATTGGATCTGGAGCGTCTTAATGTCGCCTACACTAGGCAATTTTGATCGCACGATTTCACTAAGTATTGACAACACAGCGTCGGTTTGAACGAGCGGCACTATGGCAGCCACTATAGTCTTAGAACACAAATTAGGAAGAGTTACGAGTTCGGAATGACTCCCAGCTCCTACAAACCCCAAGATCCGAGGTACGGTGATGTGGAACAGTGCCACACTGTCCCCAACCACGAAGGGTCTCAAAACTATCCTCCACAAGCCTACACAAAGAGAAATGTTACACTACACAAAGTAATGTAACTTTTCTCAATATCTTGAAGTGTACCATTTTCGTGGGCTTCGCGATCACTTGAATCTTGACACCAAGGCTCTGGTTCTTCATCATAAACTCATCCTTGAGTCCTTGATGGGTCTGCTGCACACACATGCGACACGCCGAACGCTCGACACACGACAAAATAGAAACCGCGTGAGACACACAAACGACGAAATAGAAACCGCGCGAGACACACAAACGACGACGTAGACACGCGACTAGCGATGACTCGCTATTGACTCGACACACACACATTCGACATCACGACTCATCATTCACACACTATTATAAGCATGAAATATATATTATCCCATGCCCTCATACCATTCCATGCACACACGCATGCACGCACACGGACAACAAGCCGAGTGCAAACCGTAGGGTTGCACCCACAATTTCCCCCTCGGATTGTTGGCCTTAGGATCTGCTCCTCTCAGTTCAGAGCCATCCCAACCAGCTTGCAACACTTCTAATGCTGCTGCTCCACCAGCCTCTTAGTCATCATGTCAGCCGGCTGCCCTGTCGTCTTCACGTAACGCAACTCAAATTCACCCGCGGCCACCATG